CTCATCGTGCTTAAATAATTTCTAAAAGACAAGGACACAATGGTGGAAATAACAATTAACGTACAAAAATCTAGCCTTAATGTACGGTTACAAATATGGATCGCGCATGAACAATTTGTGCACTTAAAAATTACCTTTCAACGAGGAGAATTCAGAAGAAACTTTGTTCATGGTCGTCAAGGGAGGCTGTGATGGTGTTTAAATCTTTGACTCGCCTTGCACCTAATTACATGTCTTCAAAATTTATTGTACGCAGCTATTTATTTAATTCTTATAACCTTAGAGATTCTGATGAAAACAAGCTTGCTGTTCCCTTGCCACGAACCAATTACTATAGAAATAGCTTCTGCTACAGCGGAGCTGTTCTATGGAACAATTTGTCCACTGATGTAAGACAAACAAAATCTTTTACTGTCTTTCGGAAACTGTTAACTTCTAGCTCGAACATGGCATTCATGGAAAACAGGCTTTAATTTTATAAATTAATTTTATTTAGTTAGTTATTTCAACATTCATCTTTGTAAATGCTATTACCGTTAATTCTATAGCTTTTAAACTTTTTTTGGGATATTGTATATTTAGCCGGATTGTTCTTACCGTGTATAAATAAAAGTGATGATGATGATAATGACTAGACTAGCTGCCACTAAACTGCCTACCCCTCCAACCCCACCCCCCCTCCCCCGCTAATTATTGTCAGGGTCGTAACATAGTATATGGGCTCAGGGCTCAAAGCCCAAAATATGACTGGGATCAGGGCTCAGAGGAAAGGGCTCAGGGCTCAGAAGAATGGGATCAGGGATCACAAGGCTTTTAAGCCAGAATCAGGGATCAGATTTATTACACGGTCTAACAATCCCTTATCACAATATTTTTCCGCATAATAAGGTTTCTGTCTGTAGAATTTCCTGGCCGAGGTATATTACCTATTCCTGCTTCCGGCTGGCGGCTGTTCCTGTCATACGAAGTCCTGGTTGTTTGACGAAAACATGGTATCATATTCTTAATTTATTAATTGTTGAGGGCACTGTAATATGAATCTCAAGTCACTTTTTCGCTTTGTAACGCAACTCTTCAACGCGCTGTCAACGCCAGAAGGCAGAGAAAGCGATTTATACATATCTTTTTTTGCGAGAAATGGGAAGAAGAAAAAGGACAAAAAGAAATCCTGTGACAGAGAAAGGTACGTAAGTACTTCCTTGACTGATTTACTCCTGGCAAGGGTCTAAGCATAGAGTTTTTCGGCCGATCAAACATAACCATACAGGACAATAGACAAATCGATTCATTGAAAGCGGAATTTGTTGTATAGGTCCCGACTCAAGCAAGTCACAGGGCGACTATAAATCGAGGTTCGTATTTTTTGACCAGTAACTTAACCCTTAAAACTACTTAAGTATTAGAATGGACGTCAAAAGTAGAATACAAGTACAATGAATTTGCGCGCTTTGTTGCAAAATAAATGCTTTCTCGCAATTTAATAAATCTGCTCTAACTGCATGGTGTTTTAGGGTTATGTCGAACTCTGATGAGAAACCGAGATCGCTTCACCTACCAGTACTAGTATTGGGCCGGGAAAGTAAAGGACACATTCTATTACTGTATAACTGATAAATACTTGTATGATAAATAGTCTTAAATTACAGTGTAGAATTGGTGAAAATAAGTGCAACACCAAAGACTTACCTCGGTGAAACAAAAGTAACAAAGCCTTTATGGTTTATTTTAATTTCTTTCGTTTTTTTTTATATAAAATAAACGGTTGAATTGGTGAACAAAGAAATGTTGCATACTCGGTACAAGTAGCAGAGTATGCAGGAATTTAATATATTATAGCACTCAGCATGAAGGCCCACCAGTAAGGGGCCCACTATTTGATTTTTGAGCTGGGGATGGGCTATTTTTTTCTCATGCAATAATTTTTCAGACCTCATCCCTGCAGTGGCTATTTTGTTTTGCACAAAATTTGCAGACTTTAGTGACAATATTGATCTACAAGATTTTTCTGGGCCCTTTGGGCTATTCGGCCTCGGCTTATGTAATGGCCCCGAAAGATATCACCACCTTAGATTTGGGGCCTGAATTTTTTAGTGGAGTGAGAACACCCGCTCTGAACGACTACGCATCGCGGCGGCCCAGCTGCCTTTTAGAATCAATAGAGAGGCTCTACCGATCCTCCTTTATCTTTTATACCGGTTCTCAAAGCCGTTACACACAGAGAAAGCTGGGTCCAAAGGCACCGGGATGGCTTCGAAAGTCGCACGGCAAGACTAAACCTTAAGGAAGATATGGACGAGGAAACGAGGGCGGAGAGAAAGGAGCAACAAAAGAAGGCATTGCAGAGCTTTGCGAAAGAATTCGGACGGAGTGTACGACAGCAACGAACGAGAGGGAAGACCAAAGAAAGAGCTGGTACACTTTCACTTGCTCTGAGTATGTTCAGAAGGAATGCGTCGGCACATGAAGAAGTCGATCTGCTGAAAGAGGTTCAAGAGAGTGAAGGACGAACTACAGTTCAAGACGCAGCCGAAGAATATGAGATTATCTATTCAAAAGGCGACGTAGTTGCTCTCAAGCGCAATTACAAGAGGTATATCATTCCTTTCTACCTTGCAGTTCTTTTAAAAGATCTCCACCATAACGGCGACGCATTCCAGGAAGATCACATGGGTTTGAGATGGCTGAACAGTCAGAAGAAGATCCCCTTGTATACCAGACTGGCCACCGTGACGATAGAAATTCACCTGAGTGTATATCATCGGGAAATTTCAAATAATGAAAGATGGAAACAACTTCTGTTTGAGCTGCCTTGAAGAGCAACGCCTACTTGTACTGCTCAAGGGGTCAGTTGAATCAGGTGATTTACCTGCGTCAGGCGGACAACGTTTCAGAGCCAATTAGATTTGAAGCTGGAAGGAGTAGGTTTGGAAGACCTACAACCAGATATGTTCTCTGACAATCTACAGTGGTTATTAAGCCAGGAAAAGCCATTAATGGGCTTGACACAGAAAAGCTGTTAAACTGTAGAACCTGTGGCTTGCATCATTTAATTTTTATACTTCATGTAAAGAAGGTATTTTGCTATTGGTAATTGATCGTGATCCTCACTGTAACACACAGACTAAAAGAGGAAATTCACATAAGACTACACTCTTACAATATCAACAGGGATAGCAGAATAGAAAGTCGAGAAGCTTGGTTGCCCTTAATCAAGAAACACAGCAATAGGAGATCCGTACGACAGCAGACCAGTGAGGCAAAAGCTCATACAAACAACGGAGTAAGAAATGCACCAATCTCAGCGGCTAATAATCGACCAACCAGAACCAGAGCTTGGAGTCATATAAGTTCACGTGTGGCCAGTCGACGAAGACTAGCAAGGCAAGGTCTTTAAGTGTTGCTTTTTCTAATGAACCCCTGAAGTACGCAGTTGAAACGTCGCGATCTACATCATTAAGTGACTGAATCGTGAGACAAACGATTACACTTTATTAACATCAATACTGTAGACCAGTGACACGGCCGACGTGAAATTTATGGTTGCAAGAGTCTCTTTGGAAATAAAACATCTGTGACCCACACAGATCGGACATTGATTAACTGGACAAGTTATCCGGGCAAGCAGATGTTCGCACGGGACAGAAATTGGAAAGCTAGAGGAAGACCTTACTGTTAATTTCAGAAGTACCTTACAGTGCCGTTAATTCAACCGGGGACCAACAAGCGATAGCTATTTTTGCTGTTTGACTAAAAATGTATTTATTCGAATTTTGAATCCAATACTTTCTTTTGATTGGCTTATAAACCTCCGGGTGGCCTTGCTCGTATGAGCAACACTGAAAATAAACCTATAGATACTCTTGATGAACGCTACATCTTAAAAAAATCAAGCTTCCGCCGCAAGATCTTTCAAGATGTACAATACTTAAAGGGAAGTGGACAACTTTTAATGTATAAATTAACAATAACTTACATTCTGTATCTTACTGACGCTCCCGTTCAAGAAAATCAGGTTTTATCATTTGTCTAGTATCGCCAAACATTATATTTAAAGTGTTCTAAATAGAATAATGCACAAAAAGAGGTTGAATCATATTGATCTTTAAAGCTCTGATAGAACCTACAACTTGCACTAAAAATTAAAGTTAATGTTTTTCTCTTCAGCCCATTTGAGCATGTTCTATATTCTATATTTGGAGATAAACAAAGTTGTCTAAGTTAAAATTTTGTGTAAAAACATGGATGGGATCAATTTTTTTTATCAGGGCTCAGGGATCAAAATTTTGGGGAAAATGGGGCTCAGGGATCAAAATAACGGCAAGAAAATAGGGACCAATGGGTCCCGGATATACCATGTTACGATCCTGATATACATGTATCACATATTTACATAAGTTACACAGTTCCTAAAAAGTACAAAAGAAGGATGCACGAGAAGTTTTCCTCCTTGCACAGGGGAAGTTATAAGGCCAACCTACTAAGAAATGGCCCAACTAGACGGCGAAAGAAATTTCTTTCAAGGCTTAATTTTAATCGAGTAACCCATTTTCGACGTTCATTAAGTTTCCGCAATGATTTGAAAGGTGGTTTCTCCCTGTATTGAAGAAAGTAGATTTTTAGTGTGATCATGATGAGGCTTGTGCAAGAAAAAAAGATGCCCGTTTGACCACCTCAATAAGAAAGCGTTCGATTGATCGAATTCCGGAATAATGACACGCAGAAATTTGAAAAAATCTCATGGACCGAAAATTATGCACCTGCCTTAGATGAAACATTGGCCTCAAGTATAAATTCTCAACATATTCTGGATTGTAAATGAAAGCCAATAATTAGTGATTTTCAGCGTTTTTTCAGTAAGTCTTATTCCAATTGACGTATTACAAAAGGTTGAAAGACATCGGACAACTTATTCCTGAACACGGTCAATCGAGCGCACAGTAAAATCATTTATGATAATTTAGTCAGGATGGTGAAAAAGTCGACCAGTTCAGGGCGTTTTCTGGGATTGACCTCTGGCATTTCTTAGCGACTTCCTTCAGGACTGGTGGAATTTCTAGCTTAGCGTCTTTAAATAAACGAGTGACCAGATAGTCAAATGAAAACACGTCGTTAGCGATGGACTGCCTTTCACCGCGATGTATTTCCGGTGCGATGTGCGGAAATTTGTTCATCGATTTCTCAATGTTCACCTTGGGTTTACATAACCTGGCTTTAACAATCTTGCAGCTTTTTCCAAAATCGATAATTACGGGCTTGTTTTCCGATCCGTCAATGACAACATTATTGCTCTTCAGATCGTTGTGCAAGAAACCTCTTTCATGGATGAACATTAGTATTTCGCATGTTTGCTTTAAGATATTTGCGCACATGGCAACATCTTGAATAACTTTTTCCGAAGCGGCCTTAAAAAGTGTTACGCTTTCACTACCCAGAGCGTGGAACTGGAGAACCAGATAAAATGGTGCCCGATCTGTGGAAACACCAGACAGAAGAGGGATTCCCCAGTGGTCTCCGATTCCAGTGATTGCCGATGCTTCTCGCCACACTTCCTCTCTTGTCTCCTTTGGGGATTCAGTTATTTTCATTTCTTTAGCAACAACGCGGTATTCATTGCGGTATAGGGCGATGTAGCAGTTCCCGAAGGTTCCGCTTCCAATTTTTTGGCTTTTATCCACTTTCACCAAAGACCTATTGATCTCCTTAAACGCAAGAGCATCTGCGTTCTTACCGATGCTATTTTTTCTGGAGCTAACTTCGATTTGTTTCCGTGAAATTTTTGCGGCCGGCACGTATTTCTCTTCGGTATGACCTTTCCCTTTCAGCTTCGAATGTGATAAATTGACCATGACCTTGCCTCTGGAAAAAGTATTTGCCTCTGGAGATAGTTTGTTGGCCTCGATCCGTTTCTTGTTTGTGGGCAGTGGTTCTGCCACCTTCTCACTTTCTGATTCGCGAACCTTTTCACTCTCCCCTCCCTCTTCTGGCATCTTCTGTAGTTCTGGTCCACGAGTCTTTTCATCATATTTCTCCTCTTGTGGCAACTCCTCTCTTTCTGGTACACGAAAGTTCTCATTCTTTAATCCTTCCTCCCATTTTCTCCTCTGCCATGCCTTATTTTGCTTTCTTTTCTCTCTTTTTGAATGCGCTCTTGAACGATACTTTCCAACCCTTACTCGGAATACTCGCTCTCCTTTTTTGCATAACTCCTCTCGCTCGTGTGAGTCCATGTTTTCATTCACGGAAAAAGACTTCCGTTACGGAAGGTAGCACATGGTACGTGAGAATTGTCTCTAAACAGAACCCATTGTTTCAAGAACACCCGTACTTAACCCACATATCAAAAGAAAATTCCTTTTTCCTGTCCTCACACATTTCCCTCTTAAATGGTTAGGAGAAGTTATTTTATATCAAGCGCCGTGTGATCACGTCCTTTATTCTCATAACCTATGTGATTGACAAGGAATGTTACTTGCCAAATGTAGTTTGCTACAGGAAAATCGACGGTGAGATATTAACGAATCCGTTATAGCTGACAACGACATGGATCTGCGGTTTACGTTTTCACAGAAATGTTGTTTATGAACTGGAAAGTTTAAAACTTTTAGTGCAATTCAAAAGTACGCGGAACGAAAACACACGGTGGAAGGTGATCGAGCTTTAGATGTGGTGTTTTTGGACAACGAGGAGAACGAGGCTTCAGTGCCCGACATTGGATTTCTTAACCAGAGATCGCAAGATTTTAAAATAGGATATTTATCGTGGCTGGCAGGGCTTACGGAGCAGATATACGCTTCCCTTGATCCTCGTTTACGTGGTAAGTGGCGAATTTAAACGGCACAAAGCCTTATACCACCTAAGCATTTAGCATCGCTTTTAATTTAGATCTACGCACTTGAATATTCCTCGTTAAAAGCCACCTAAAGTACTACCCAATCATCTTTTCAGTTGTGCGTACAGTCTTTACCCTCAAACTTTGCTATTTTCTTTAGCATTTAGCTTCTCAGTTAAGTAGCAAAGTACTTTGCGCGTCATTTAGCCGATTCTCTCACTGGTACGAGCGCGCGTTACTCGAGTTTCGCCCCTCACACGGCAATGATCCCGGCTATTAAAGGGAGAAGAGCGTTGCGTGACGAAACAGAACGACTGTGTGCGAATGAATGAATCAAATCTTTATTTTACTTAGAATGTCAGATGATCTCAGAAAGCTTAAACTTACACTTCTCCTTTCATGAAAATGTGCTGAAGACCCAATTTAATTGTAGCTGGTTTTGTCTACTTTCATTTCTAGGTGGTTGGGTGACTTTACCATTCCCACAAGTTCCTGAAAGGTACTTTGGGCACTTAGCTTCTCAAATGGGATGCAGGATGCATAGCATGAGGCAGGTACCTCATAAGAAGCCTCCATTTTACTGCCCATCAACAAGGCGAGTTTCCTATAAAGTGTATAGCCTCACTTCATTTACTGATGCATTGCATGAACAAACCCTCCATAAACTAAATGATACGGCCTGGTACAGTGACCTACAGAAAGTGGAGAAAAGATCTGACCTTAGCCCTCAGGAGGAGCTCCAGACTGCCAAGAACCGTGGTTTTTGGAGCACTGTCAGAAATGAGGAGTCGTCAGGGGATCTATTAACCAAACGTCTAACAGCCAAAGCAAGTTTGGAGGTGGGTCCAAGACAAGGATGGACCACTAGGGAGGTAGAGGTAATCTGGTGGCCAGATCTATACTCCACCACAAGGAATGGAAAACTTCCAATAAGATTCTATATTAAAAAAGTAACTGTTTGAAACTTCTTTTTATGAACATTTTTGTTGTAGTCTATTTAATATTGATCAAACATTCAGGCAATGGCTTTAAAGTTGACTTCACTTCCCTGAAATATCTGGGAAGTTGTTTCTCTTCCATTTTTTACCTGCAAAGAGCAGTGTTAATTGTCAAACTTCCTTGTTTGACCTGTACAGAGGTTAATTTTGCTTTTTTATTCTTCTCTGCCTCTTTGAAATGTAAGCTTGACATAGATATCATATTATTCACTAAAGTGTAAGTTGAAAAGAGCATAAAACACTACCCTTGAAAGACAATAGTATCTATGGAAATGTGTAGTCATTGTTGAAAATAGAACATCAATTTTTTATACCAAAACAATGGAACTTCTTCATGCAACTTTAGTAAAACCACAAAAGCAAATTTTACCTTATAATTAGACACTAACTAAACAGACATGCTATTTAAATCTACTAAATATTGTTTTTACCTGTTAAAGGAAATTGAAAACCCTATATGAATTTTATATGTATTTCAGTGATTTTGTGTTTAATTTGTAGGAAGTTAATGTTAGCTGACAAATCAGTAGCTGCTTTTAACAGCAAAAAATCAGTTTGTGCTCAACAAAACAACTTTTAAATCTGTTCAATCTTTGCTGAAAGTAGGGCATAAAGATTAAAATGATACAGTTTAATGAACACTTACTGGTCTACTCTGTGATTGGTCATTTTCTTTTAATACATATGGTTGCTCCTAAAAGAGCCGTTTGTTTTTTGTCACCTGCAGTCAGTGCAATGTCAAACTCCCTGGTATAATGACCTGCAGGATTTTTTTTTTCATTCGGTTTCTTGTTGGAATTTTAGCTGGACATCAATGCCATATCTTTTGCCTAAAAACTTAAAAAAAGAGCAAATAACATTACTTTTGAGACAATAACTTATGTGAAGGTGTTGCCCTTGGTAAAATTGAAAAAAAGTTAGAATTCAATCTTATTCTTCCTATCATAAGCATCTTATTGAAAGCTTTAAAACAATTAATTCAGTGAAAACTTGGTTCCATCACCTCCGCAGTTTGGGTGTGCTGTCTGTAAACCTTAAGAGGGAAAGGAAACTGTTACAATAATACTGTCAAAAGAGTTTCCATTCTTATAACTATCTTATTGAAAGCTTTGACAAAATTAATTCAGCAAAAACTGGGTTCCATCACCTCTGCAGTTTGGGCGTGCTGCCTGTAAACCTTAAGAGGGAGAGGAAACCTTTACAATAATATTGTCAAAAGAGTTTCCATTTTTATAACTATCTTATTGAAAGCTTTGAAAAAATTAATTCAGCAAAAACTGGGTTCCATCACCTCCGCAGTTTGGGCGTGTCACCTGTAAAACTTAAGAGGGAGAGGAAACTCTTACAATAATAATTGTCAAAAGCATGTTCATTCTTATAACAACTATCTTATTGAAACCTTTGAAAAAATTAATTCAGCGAAAACTGGGTTCCATAACCTCCGCAGTTTGGGCGTGCCGCCTGTAAACCTTAAGAGGGAAAAGAAACCCTTACAATAATATTGTCAAAAGAGTTTTCATTCTTATGACAACTATCTTTATATTGAAACCTTTCAAAAAATTAATTCAGCAAAAACTGGGTTCCATCACCTCCGCAGTTTGGGCACGCCGCCTGTAAACCTTAAGAGGGAGAGGAAACCCTTACAATAATATTGTCAAAAGCATTTTCATCACACTAATAAAAAGTATCTTATTGAAAGCTTTGAAACAACTCAGGTTGAAAGGTCTTCAGCATCAACCATCACATCACCAATTCTAAAGATTTCTTCTTCAGGTTCACTGTCCAAAAGCAAAGCCCTAATTTCATTAATCTGCTGAGGGTTAATGTGGTGCTTGTAGTTTTCATTCAATTTTCCTCTTCTTGGACTCTAACTTAATGGAAGAAGCTTTTGATGCTTTCATCCAAATGTCTAGGGCGCTGCTGTCAAACACCCCAAGATCTCCAAACTTGACTGCAGTGTCGAAATCCTCATCATCACTGATTCTGAAGGCCTGACTGGGGACTGCAGAGGATTGTTAAGACACCCAGGATCAACAACCAGCTCGATGTCATCATCCGGAATTTGAATTACAGGCGGAAGATCAAGGGTAGCAAGTTGGCCTCTGGAACAATCATTTGCAGCACAAATTGGTAAATCATGAATAAACAAAGGTTCTGATGGTTGACGAACAAAGGTAGTTTTAGTATCCACTGTGACACAGGACGAAGGGCTGCAACTGGAATTTGAAGGGCTAGTGGTGGGGCTTGATGAGAGGCTTGTGGAAGACACTACTAGGAGTATGTATGTGAAACACCATGTGAAGAACGTGTGAAAAATGTCCTATTTTCACACTCTTTTCACACTCTTTTCACATGTTTTTCACACACTTTTCACATGTATTTCACACACATATTTCACATGCATGTGAAATTTTGCATAGTGAAATATGTGTGAAAAGGGTGTGAAGCGATGTCATCCCTTTCACACACATTTTCACATACACTTCACATGGGGTTTCACACAGGCTTTCACGTGTAAATCCTCATTTAAATTCACACATATTTTCATACACTTCACATGGGGTTTCACATGGGTTTTCACATGTAATTACTCCTCATTGAATGGCAAAACATCTAGAATTTCACATGCTGGTAATTTCACACATTATTTTCACATACACTTCAGACGGGGTTTCACATGTAAATCCTCAGAGATCATGAATGGCAATAGAATTTCACTACACTGCGAGCAGAGGTTTGTTTACACGTAAACAAACCAACTACGTGACAGACAAGCCACCCAAACGACTTCGTAAATGCTAAAAGCCATGCAAGAGAGAAAACACTGCTTGAGGGTAAAATTTCCCATACCACTTCAAACAAATTGGGTATGTTGTTTCACAAGCAAATATTCAGTAAATCAACTAGCTTAGATCAATTTACACACAAATTTACATTTGCACTTTCCACTTGCAATAAATTTGTCTGAAGTACTGTCAACTGCATGCATGGCTGTGTATTCATATAGTCACAAACAACTTCAGGTTTATAGCCTGATCTGTTGGTTTATTTATAATTTTATGGAATTTTCAGAAGAACTTGATTTAAATAGAACCGGCAAAAAGTGAAAAGCAAACTGGATAGAATTGATTGGCAAAGGATATCAACACAGTGCAACTCAGTTCACCTGACTCACATGTCCCAAAATGAACTTAAATGTAAATTTAAGTTACTCAAAAAAGGCACATAAGGCTAATGGAAACATCAGTGTCTAATCCTGTTTATTTGTCAATAAAATAACTAATAATATACTAATTTTTGGTTACAAATATTTCTTATAAATTGTAATAATTATGATAGTAAATGACATAGTGGCCAATTT